AGTTGTTAGGGTTTTTTTCATCTAAAATAAAGCAACATTAATTTCTTGACAACCTAAAATATACAAAGTTACACAGTGTGTAGATAGGCACAATATGAAAATAATATATATAGAATACATAATAAACACACCTTTTCATACATCCTAATAAATAAAGCAATTGTGGGCTTTAGTACTTAAATTGAAAGCCTTATTTTGGATAAAAGCTAGAATGGTTAAAATCCTACACTAGAATTTTTTTGCCAGCATTCAAATGGCATTATCCAGTACAATTTCACAAACACAATCAGTTTTAAATAAGTCAAAACTGTGTGATAAAATTACACATGCACATTGCTTTCAAATAAATAAATGTGTTCCTGAATGCTTTTTTTTGAAAGAAAACATCTGCTCATGATTATTTTATTATACACAGGGCTAATAACATAAAATATGTGTGATGTCTGGTGAAAACTTAAGTAACAAACACACAGAGAAATGGGATATTGACCAACAGTAATAGTGATAGTTTATAACTAATGTAAAATGCAAGTTTTACTTGAAAGTATTATAATTTTAATTGAAACAATTTTTTAAATTAACCTTACTTTTTGTTTTTTAAACTTATAAAAACGATGAATTAGGTGTTACACTAAGTGGCAGACAAATTACAAATATTTTCATAATTGGTTTATTAATTCTCCCACATGTAATAAAAAAAGTGGCCTACAACAAAGTTTATCTGTAGCCATCCCTACTTCTGAATTGACAGACGAGAGGGAAGGCAGCTAATCAACACCGCCATCATCACTCTTATATTGTATCCATAGATTCAAAGTGCTGGCTCAATTTTTTAAGCAAGGGGACACAAACCATGGATTCTCAAATCCAGTTTTTTGACACATTATTTTTTGTAATTTGAAAACAACAGAAAGAACTTGCCAGATTCATAGTTTTCTTCATTTTTCTAACATTTTACTCTTTAAAGTATTGAACACTGAGCTTTATATGTTGCATTTAAAGGAAATAAATTATTTTACATAAAAGGTCCATGAATACTAATGTTAATGGCAGTATCAATTCTTAACAGTAATTCTCAAAAGATTTTCTGCAGGAGGATGATTTATCAAAGTATTGTTTGATAAAATTCTGCAGTTAATATTTTTACCATGGTATGTTCTATACTGTTTAACTCCACTTTTTTTTTCTCATTGTCCGTAATTTCTATTTTTACATTAATAAAATATTATTACTACATTTTTAATTATATAAGACTTTACTTTACATCATAAGGCCATCAGAAAAAAAATATTAATAATTTTCAAATAACAAAGACATCATCAGGTTCCTGTAACTCTCCCATTTGTGGAAATGATTTTAACCATTTAACATTTAAATTGTAAGAATGATTCTCTTCATTAATGGTCTTATTTTACTCTACACTGAATCAGATAAGAAATATAATTTTATTAAGATTAACTGATCAGTATCAAAAACTATAGGTTTTAGCAAATATTAAAATACCATCTAATTTGTGTGGTACAAAAAGTTTTGTTTTTATCAGTTGTTATTCATAAATATTTGTCTCTGCCTATAAGTACACTATCAGACAGTTTTACTCCATATATCAAATAATTTAATTTCGAAAAATAAAGGAGTTGCATGTACAAATTTAAATTTATTCAATTCTTGGAATGAAACTTTGTTGTTTTTTACACCAGAGAAAAAATGTATATTGGGAGCATTCTATGATAAACTGACAAATATGTAAATAACTTCAGGGTAAACTATTTATGATTTAAAATAAATATTTTCATGCTAATTCTTAATTTTTTTATTATTTTAAACTCTGAAATACACAAGGAAAACATCAATGGTTGGGTAAACCTTTTCATGATGATTCTTAAATTTTATTTACTATTTACTTGTGGTTTTAAATATTACCAAATAACATGATTTGTTTTTAAATTTCTTCAGACTGAAAATGTTAGTGTCTCTGTTAATATAAAATATTTGTTTGAATATATATTTGTGTAAGGTTTTCTACGAGTTTGACTACTTGTTTATTAAACTAAAAGTATATATATGTAAATATATATAGAGCACTAAACAGCACAAGTAAAAGGATACCTCAATAAACTTTCGATAATCTTCATTATTAGTACCACCTTCAGCCATCCTTCTTCTTTCCTCTTCATCTATGCTATTTGCAATGGCTGCCAATTCAACAGCTGTAAAATATTCACCTTGTAGCAAGTTGTTTAAGCAATGTTGGGCACAGAGTGAGCCTTCTTGCTGCATGAAGAGAAATTGTATACTTGTTCATTCATAACACAATTGATAAATTCCAATACATCCATTATCAAATATACCTTAAATATTCTTGAGTACAAATAACATAAGTATACACAATGAGATAAAAGTTAAAAATAAAACAAATTCCATATTTCCTACTTTTAAATAAACTTAAAAATCTATATACAAGTAATATATTTTAGACATTACTAAAATGTTCAAGAACATCTCTGCATATGTAGCAATATAGGAGGAATCCCACATACAGACCAAAATAACTGTAAAAGTATATCATAAAAGGCCCATATATTAATTATAAGAGGTGGTTCTTGTGTCTGTGAAGAATCAGCTGGTATGGATGTTCGAAAATCCTCTTCTATGTATATTTGATTTCAAGTTGGTTACTTATCAGCTATTAACTACTATATTGTAGATTGTCATTGAGTTTAAAATGTATTACATTAATTTTTACAATATTCTATTACATTTAATTTTCAGTCATAAAATGTGGCATAGCAGGGATTACAGATTAATGGCTTTATCATGTTTTCCCCTAGGGCTCAAATTTTTAATTTGAAATTGAAAACATTAAAAAACGACTTCTGTAAACAAGACTTCTTAGCCAAGATCTACATTTCTATGCCATTTAACAAAAAAAGGGTCAAAGTAAGCTCTTTTCTGGTAAGAAAATACATTTAACACTAGTTTCTTGGATAAAATATGAAATAAAGTCAATAGCATCACATATAAAATGAATGCTATAGTAACTGTAATTCATAGCATTTTAAATCAAATACTCTTTCCAGACATATAAAAACAGATACCAAGTTAAAGAAAAATAGAAACTGTTTCTTCAGCATTTATGAAGCAAATCTAAGTGCATGTAAATAACACATTAAGATAGTCAATTGGTTTTTGTTTGTTTCTAACAATGTTTAGGAATTCAATACATATCTAATTATGTTTCTTAAAAAATCTTTTCTCATTGCTTTCTGATCACCTATTAAACAAATTTTATTGAAATTTAGTAGCAAACTTTTTTCAAACATTGTCTAATCAGAAATGTGAGGAATACTATAACTTAAACAACTGTTCAATTAAACATTTTATTTTTTAAGGCCATATTTGCCTGATAGACAAAAGAACAAGAAAAGGTGAATATTAATTTTACTTTCATTAGAATTGACTATCTCATGCTCACTTTACATTCTTTGTCTTCTCTTGTTGACCTGGAAACTGTTCATAGACACAAACTGTGAAATGATGAATTTAAATATAATTTTAACAAGCTTCTACTAAGTTAAAGAAACTGGACCTTAAAGATGTACTTCACACCTTTGGTGCATTTTAAAATCTCTTAGAGTGGCAAAATACATAAAGTTAGTTATGCACAAAATGTATAATAAATTACAGGCCCTATCTGGCAAAAGTATGAAATAAGTTGAACAACAACAAAAAACAACTCATTATGGCCATCTACCAAGGAAACATTAAAGTGTGATATAAAGAAGCTTAATATTGATTTTCCTTCTCTATTTCTTCAGCATTTAAATTTTGAAATCTGAGCCAATTTTTTCCCTTTATAACAGTATCAGATACACAAATAAGAAGTGTAAAAAAAAACATCTACTAAGACACAGTACACTGTAGTTTAAGCCATGGATTCACTATTAACACATAATATAAAACACTTTCCCTAGTTTTCACAAATAAAAATTGAAAACAACAAAAGAAAAACTGTCCAAAAAAAAACATTTTACATTTTCATTTTTACCATTAAGTTGCCCTAAAATTATAGACTAGTTAGTCCTACTTTTGTAGTGCAAAAAATTTTAGTCTAATAAAACAAGCTTTACAAAATCATCTCCTAAAATATATTACAAATGAAAATCAACAAGGATTCACTGCAGGGAAATCCTCCCTTTCTCATCTCTTAAGTTTTTTGTGGTTCTTAAATTATCTGGATGATGGAAAGGATATGAATGTGGTGTACTTAGGTTTTCAAAAATCTTTTTGGTAAAGTTCCCCACATAACAAATTACCTAATAAAATCACATTTGATGAGGCAGTGGTGGACAATACAGAGTGCAGATGCACCCCAATGATTCTGGTGCACCATTTTTTTTATATGTTTGATAATAGTTTTGATATGTTCAAAAATGTATTAAAAATACAATAGGTTATTTACTTATTTACATGCTAGAGGAGTTTAGTAATGACCAAACACAGGCCCTCCTCCCTCCAATTGTGGAGTCCTGTTGAAGCATATTTGGTAGTCCAGTTAGTATTGTCATGTCCCTAATTCCAATCCACTGACTAAAGGGAGGCAACTGGCTGATAGCAAACATTTTATACCTTGTTATTATTATTATTAATAATCATTGTGTATAATTTCTTATATAATTATTTTACTTTTTAACACCAGGTAGTCAATGTAAATAAGTTGGTTTTAGTACTATTACTTCTACTACTATTTCATGCTTGAGGAGTTTCACAGTGGTCTTCGCACAGGCTATTCTTCTTCCAATAACTTCCCTTTAGTAATAATGCCCAATTTAATTTGAATTCAAGTAGCATCTGTAATTTCCACATACTTTAACACTTGTTTCGCTTCCATACTTTCACCCCCTTTCTTCCAGTTGACCAACACGACCGCTGCTCCATTGTTTCTCACTACATCAGTATACATGCTATTTCACTGAAAAAAATCATTCAGAGATCTTACCAGGTTTCCACAGGCTGGACCTTACCAACTACATTTTCCACTTTCTTATTGAATATGCCACAGTTGCATGTTTTTTTTTGACAAAAACCTGTCTCGAACTTTGTGATTAGGTAAGTCTGTCAGGAGTATGATCCTGTTATAATCTAAACTGCTACAGAACAACCACAAAACATTTTACTTGTATGCTTCATAATTGGTTATAAATTGCCCAGTTTTCACTGCTGACCATTCAAACACAAGATACCCATCTTTCCACATGGTTTCTGCCCATGCAGTCATACCCTTCATGACTGTGCCATCTGTTGCTCTGATCAGTGTCAGTCTCTTATTCCATGACCTTGGTTTTGTTAACCAGTCCTGACTTTTCCCTCTATACCCTGGTGTCAATCTTCATTGTGTTTATCTTGATGCCCTGTGCCTGGACTCAATTAATTCTCTTGATGTGTTCCAGTGGACATACCTCTTCTACAGTTTTCTTGGCCTCATTGGTCCATGACTTGACTGATTTCTGCATTGTTTGTCCTCTCTGTCAAGTGTTGATAGAATAGATGAGATATGACTTGTTGCTCCGAGTAACATTTAGCTGTCTAGAATCCTTTATCTTGTAATAATGCTGCTCAAACCAAGCCAAAAGTGCAGGGTATCACAGAGTGTTGATTTGGCTGTTCCTGTTTCTGTTCTCTTGCCTGCATTCTACACTCACTGTAACCTGGTCATTGCTGATGCACCCAAGTGGATTTCATACTTACTTCTAGTCATTTCTGTTTCTATGATGAAAAAAAACAGAGCTGTCAGAAGTCTTGATACTGCAGACACTATTTTTCACACATTTGTGCATCTTCTCCAGTCTTATACATGAATGTGTTGAAACCAGTATTTTCTAATATCAAGACTTCTAACAGTTTGATCCATTTACTGTAGTTTTTCAGTAACTGCTACTACACAGTGTTGTGTTACCTTATTATTATGACTATTGCTCTCATCAGACTGATAAGGCTTCTTAACTGCACTTTTTTGGGCTGCAGCATATTTGAGAAGGATAAGGTTCTTTACTAGTATCTCTCAGATGACCAATATCTGTGGACTTTGTCATTCTGCAGCCTGTCACAACACCCATAAATGTGGCAGTTTTTATGTGGTCCATTAGCTAAATTTCAAATGACAGCCCCTGGTATCAAGCATAACCATTATACATCTTAAAAGAAAGCCTGTTACTCCTAGAGTCTTTAGCTTCATTGCCAAAATGCCAATATCCACTTGACTGTCCGAATTTTCAAAGTCAAATAGCCTAACAGTGCAATGCTATAATGTTTGCATACATTGCTGGATGCTGTGTGATTACCTCAACATTTAAAACTAACCTTGCTCCTCCCACCTTGGTTGTCAGACAATCTTCTTCTCCAAATGTTAGTCTATTTGCAACTACTTTTTCCACGAGCTCATTTGACAATGCTAGCAGTCTATATTATTAGTATATATGTAAAATACTTCAATGTTTTCTGGTAAATTTGATTTTTTCAAAGCTACTGCTTTCTTGTATTTCTTAATTTTTACTAAAGTAAGTGCCTTGACGCTTCTTGTCACTAATCATTAAAACCTTATATATTTTTTACTAGAGAAGTTTTACCCTATCATTCTTTTTTTCTTTGAGATATTAAACTGAGTTATGAATTATTTATATCCTCACTACAATTATTACATGTATTCCTTTCAAACAAAACAGAATTATTGCTATTCATATAAATGAGTATATTAAATATTTTTTTATCTGATCCTAAAAATTATCCAACAGTAGGATATAAACATTCATAAAAACATGATCTAGGTATAATACATGTACAAAAAATTTATATTTTAAATATGACATATTGTGATCTTATTTCCATACTAATACACAGCCATAAAAAGGTTGACTGAAAAACAAACTCAAGTTATAAAAGTTTTTATAAATAATAATATAAAATCATGTTTATATATCATCAAAATTATGAAACTAATGCTATTACAATACAAGTTAAAGAAATGAAGAAGTAGACACATACTTGTGTATAGCCAGTTTTATTCATTTTTGATTTACTGCCACAAATGAGGAAATTTTCCAGACCAATCTAAGACAGATTAACTTAACTAAAAATAAAATGTACTTTTCAAGTTAAACAAGTTAGAGCATAAAAATTATGTTATTTCACTTTGTTTAACGAAGTAAGGGTAATTTATCTACATTTAGTGAAGTAAAAATCAGCAAAACAAATTTAATACTGATTAACATAACTGCAAAATAAAAATTACTTGTAACTGTAAGTTGTAATTGTACTGTTGTAGTTTTAGGCTTACCTTTTCATGAAAAATCGTCTCCATTTTCCAAAAATGATAAAACCTATTGCCTGGTTACACTTACAGTGGTAGGACTAGCTTTAGAATTCACGTGCTTATTTTCTTTACACAAATCTACAACTAAATTTGCACTTCTGAAGAGTGTTTGTTTTCAGTTTGATTAGAACTGCCTGAGGCTGAAGTAGAAGAAGTAGCAAAGAAGAAATGAGACAGAGTCAAACTGAGTGAGACTTTGGGCGACTAACTTACTTTAATTTTATATAAGATCCTTCTGAAACAGATCTATAGGATGGAAGATTTGCAACACGATAACTAGAAATAAGTAATTTCGTGTAAAATCATCATAATCAATAAAAATTTAGTTACAACTTCTTTAGACAAACTATAAAGCAAATTATATTATTAACTATCTTCTACACCCTTTGAACACGACTATGATATCCAAACGCCCTCTATTGAAAAACATACGGGGATGGTAAATTTGACATTTTTATAAAAAACCCAATATAATTCATAAACATAATAACATATACTAATCAGCCCCATAATGTAAGGAAATGAAAAACAAATACTTGTAGTGATCGTTACATAAAGAAACATTAAAAATATAATAAGACTATAAGATAGCACATAAAATATGAAATTATTTTCAAATAAGAATTCATTTGTTAATTTTTAAAGTAAAGAAATGACGATTCATATCTTGCTGTAACGCACAGGTAGATCATGTTACGGCTCGCCATGGCCAGGTGGTTACGGCACTCGACTCGCAATCTGAGGGTCGCGGGTTCGAATCCCCGTCACACCAAACATGCTCGCCCTTTCAGCCGTGGGGGCGTTATAATGTGACGGTCAATCCCACTATTCGTGGTAAAGAGTAGCCCAAGAGTTGGCGGTGGGTGGTGATGACTAGCTGCCTTCCCTCTAGTCTTACACTGCTAAATTAGGGACGGCTAGCGCAGATAGCCCTCGTGTAGCTTTGCGCGAAATTCAAAAACAAAACAAACAAACAAAACAAAAGATCATGTTACGAAATATTAACACCAAAGTAGAGCATTAAATCTTAATAATTAACGTAATTTTAATAACTTCAATAAAAGATAACAATATTGAAAGTACATAATAATCAATCTCGAACTTAGCATGTGTAGAAAAAAAATTACAACTTTATCTTGCAAATAAGCTAGTTAGAGGATTTCAACTATAATTAAAGTCGGAGGTGTCATATTCTAATCGAAGCAAAAAATATTATTGATTTAAGGAAGTCGCGTCTTAAACCTAATTCCACTAAGACGTGGAGACGGAAAACTATTTTTCTAGCCTGTGACTAAAACTGACCTTAGCCCTTGAGGGTCATACAACGTTTAAACTCCATCTTATTTACTAACACAAATAAAATGCAATCTAAATGAGAATACTATGGGTAGACTCTAGAGTTACCGTAAATCTTTAGGCATTTCAGTGATATATTATTGGCAAATTGAATTTCAAGCATAAACTAAAAAACTCGACAATTTACCTTTCTTATAAGATACCGTAAATCTTTAGGCATTTCAGTGATATATCATTGGCAAATTGAATTTCAGGCATAAACTAAAAAACACGACAATTTACCTTTCTTATTAGATCTTCAAAGTTCAAGGAAAGACAAGTGCTGAAAAATTGTGATATCATGTTAACGAGAACGCCTCATTTTCAATACTTTGTTTCATTGTTTAAATAAATATTTTCCTGTCTTTGAAATACAGACGAGGTATATATATATATATATATTTGATTCAGCACTTTTAAGACGTAATTGATAAATGTTTTACTTTCAATAGAATCAATGATCACTTTATATGTTTTGACACAGCTGGAAATTGTGTCCATAGACTCAGTAACTGTTAGATTATTAATTTAAGTAATAAACAAGCTTCTAATAAATTCAATAAATTATATTTTAATATCGCTTAGCATTAGGCTTGTTTGTTTGAAGTTATTCACAAAGCTACACAATGGGCTATCTGTGCTCTGCCCACCACGGGTATCAAAACCCGATTTCTAGCGTTGTAAGTCCGCAGACATACCGCAGTGCTACTGGGGGCTAGCATTAGGCAACCAGAATGTGGAACAAAATTAATAGTGGAAGAATTAAATAACTAAATAGGTTCAGATGGCTGAAATAGTGAAGCTAAGAAATATTTTCTTTTACATATCATAACCAATTTTCAATTTGTGAGACAAATAAACAAAATCAGTACCCGATTACTAAGATCATGGTTATGACAGCCAAACGATACATTACGTAGGCAATGCCGCATGTTAAAATGAAAGGAGAAAACTTCTGTAAAGGAAAAGTATATATATATAATGGGATTTTAGAGAATCAAAGAGTTATTAATGCAGTAGAAGTCAGCTGTCCCTTCAATGGATAAGTCCTAACTATATAGATAAATCTCCTGCTAAGGTAACTTCTATAATGTAGTTTGTACCCTAATTTCATTTGTCTGTGCTACATTTGCAAATCTATTTCTTACCTTTCAAATTATATCAAAATGTCTTTATACTTTAAAGAAAAATACGACCTTTTTTTTCAATATCGATTAAAAAAAATAGAAAAATATAATAGGTTTAATCAAAAATGAAGTGGTGGCAAGGTCCAAATATACCTATATCACATAAATGTGAAGCTAGCTTTTAAAAGATCTTACTTTGAATATGTCTTGTTAAAAATCTTCTATGTCCCTTTATTTACGTAATGAGCTTTTCTTGGCAACTGTGAACAGGTGCTTAAAACGTTATTGAATAATGAATGTCAACTACTTGTAAATACTTAAGATTCATTATGGAGAAGAAACGTTCAAGAGAATAAATATGCAACATTCTCTATTTACCAATTTTTTAAATGCAAGCTGTCAGCTGCCTTATTTAAGATCAATTTTGTTGTTTTTCGTTCGCAATCGCTTATGTTAAAGTATGAAAGAATGTGGTCTCAAATCCTGGGGAATACAAATATCTTTAATTTCGTTGTTATTTCGCTATAAGTAACAAAAGGTGAAGGTTACAGCGTGATTTTAACTTTAGGTAAACGTAATTAGCTCATTCAGTACATTGAAACAACATAATTTTTTAAACATATATCAAAAGTTCTTAAGCCATATGTATAGTGAATAGTGCTTTATTTTTGAAATTAAAAATTATAGATTACGCTGAAAATGTAGTCATTGACATTTATAAAAAAAACAAAAACAACTCGTTTCTATTTTGAGTAAAAGTTTAAATTTTCTTTTAACTAAATTGTTTCAACACTTTCCCCTACTTTAAATACAAGAATCAAAGTCCACAGCTGCATGCAGTATTAACATGGATTACTGATTTTATTACTTTAAAGGAAATACCAGTTTATATTTATTTAAAATGATGGATTTTTATATTATTAAATATTTTAGTTACTTTATGGACTAAGTTGTTTTTCCTTTAGATATCCCTTCTTTTTGATTAAACCTATTATATTTATTTCTTCTTTTTGAACCTGTCTTCGGTTGATCTGCTCCAGTCTGACCTGTACCGTTCGAAAACTTTCTGATCTTTCTATAAGATCTTGAAATTCTAGGACCCTTCTGGAAGAAAATAAGAAATACGAACAACTTTTATCTAATTAGTATATAGAAATAATTTATATAAGCTCTGTTTTATGAGTATTTATCATTGTGAATTAAATTTAAATATAAATTGACGAATTGGGTGGCCCAAAATTAACAACATGATCTGTCATGCTTTATAATAACTGCCTGTGATTTAAATTAAGGTGGCTTAGTGCACACTGGAGATTAAACACATTTTGTGGAAATAGTAACAGGTAGTAACTAGTGGATCTTACTATACTATTATAATTCATTTGGTGTTTCACCTGATATTTTTTTAAAGAAATTACCTTACGAAATTCAACAGTAGTCTTAGAAATACTATTTTGTTCAATAGGATCATCTCTTTAAAATGTTGTTAGGTGAAATGTCGAGGAAACAGTAATGACATACAAAACTTCACTTGTTACTGGTTGTTTCTCTTTTTAATAAAGGTAATAATAGCTGAGTATTCAAATGAATATTTTAATGTGTTTTATTGCACTTTTTAAACTCAGGTATGATTCCAACTGTTGTCTCAACTCACATTTAATGCTTTTACATAACATGTTTACAAATGGGACTGAGGAAAATGGCCAAATACACCTATAGACACAGACAAAGCCATCTTTAATTTAGAACTGCTTACCAAGTGGAAGACAAATAGTTAGCAACATCCGCCGCCTACCCGCTTGAAGATGGAAAACAAACAGACACTGATGCAAATGAACGTTTACCATACTTGGGCAACAACATAGCTAAAAGTAAATACATAGAAGTTGCTGTTTCTGTCCTGTACAAATGGAGTTAATGATGTGAGAGACTCGCAAAATTTGTACAGATCAAATAATAAAAAAAAATTCATTCCCTTTTTCTCTCACCATATATATTAAACAAGATACAGCTTTGATGAAGTCATGCTACGACTAGAAAAAGTAGCAGTTTCTTACTGACTACCCAATCATGTGTTTAGTTCTCTTTTTGTTGATTGTTTTTGAAGTCCAAAATATGCAATTTATTAAAGTATAAACTGTGAGATTTTGACTAATAAAAGTCTTTGCAACACATTGTTCCATTTGACTGAAAGCTATTTTCAATCCAGAAATTATTTTTTTACAATACCTTTTGGGTGTAAAATTAAAAAAATATGTTTGTTTGTTGTTAAGTGCAAAGCTGC